GCCGCCGCGGGTCGTTGACCCACCTCCTCAACGCCGCGCGCTCGGCAGTGTGGATCTTGGCGGCCGCCCGTCTCGGCTGGCCGTTGAGCGCGCTGGCCCAAGCCAGGAGCCTCTCGCGACTGGGCCCGCCGCGCCACCAATCGCGGTCGCAGGTCTCTGTCTCTAGCTGCTCCGTGCTAGGGCCCGTGGACGCTGTGACCCGACCGCAACTCTCGTGCTGGCTCCTCTCCGACACGTGTGGCTCGCCGCAGCGGTTCCACTCGTCCTCAGCGTCGGACTTCTCGCTGGGCCCGACGTCCTGGCTCCGCCTCTCCGCCCACTTGGTGACCTCCTGCTCGGCGCGGGGGGCTGGGCTCCTGCAGGCCCGCTCGAGCCCCGCGTCGAAGCAAGCGGCGCCACTCGGCGCGGTCTCCGCGACGTGGGTCACGGCGGCGCGCCCGGGAAGGAGCTCGAGTCTGCTCTCGATCCCGGAAGCTTCGAACCACTGCGCACGTGGCACCAGCTGGAAGCGCACACCGTGGCCGTGGGCCCCGGGGTCACCTCCCGTGATGGCCACACGGCATGCCGACGCATGCGTCCCCTGCTCTGCAGACTTGCGGGCGGCCTCGTCGCAACGGGTGTGCGAGAGCTGTGTGTCTCCTGAACCGCTATCCTGTCACCGTTGCGCACCGCGCAGTGCTGCAGCAGCCCCTCAAACATGTTACGCTCGCGGGCGTTGATGGTATGAGCCAGACACCTTATGCGCCTCCTTGCGCTATGATCCGTCTGTCATGACACGCCTGGCTGCGGCACACGGGCGCATCCACTGGGGCCCTAGGTGGAGCTCCCTCTGGGGCCACGAAGCGTGCGATGGGGGTGCCGAAATGAGGTGTCGACGGCATGCGGACGCAATTGCTAGGGCCTTAGGTGGAGCTACCTTTTGGGCCACGAAGCGTGTGAGGGGTGCGCCAAAGCGGTGTGGTGGCGGCAAGCGGGCGAAACCACTGGGGCCTCAGGGGGAGCTCCCCCCTATGGGGCCACCGAACATGTGAGGGGTATGACAAGTAGGGTGGTGGCGGCAATACGAGCGCAACCTCTGCGGCCTCAGGTGGAGCTCCCTATGGGGTTTGGAAGCGTGTGAGGGGTGTACCGAAGTGGGGCGGTGGGAGAAAGGAGGGGGGGACAGGGAGCACGGGGAGGAGGAGGGCGAGGAGGAGAGGAGAGGAGAGGAGAGGAGAGGAGAGGAAAGGAGAGGAGAACAGGGACGCGGGGCGCCGCTGATTCAAAATGAGCACCGGACTCAACACAGCATGGCTGGTAAACAGGAGGAAGTCTGACGTTGGCATCACACGTGAACGCTCTCTCCCATGCTCGAGCAACCATCCCCGCAACTTCTTGGCAACATCCGTGAAAGCCGTGAACGCACTTACCAATCGGAACTTGCTCGCGAATCTCAGATGGCCCGGCGACGCGCGTACGCTGCTCATGCAGATGCGTGACTCGGGCGACCGTCTGACGATGGTGATGACATCGGCACGCGTGCAGACTGAAACGCCTGCCACACGCGAGGAGGTCACGACGCGGGCACGGGGGGCCCCAGGAGAACTCGTGGAGACGCCAGCCAGCGCAAAATGAACGGGGCGGGCACAAGCGGGCGCACGGCGAAGACCCGGCACACCCCGTCAGCGCACGGAGCGGGCTGGTCATTGCGATTCGAGAAGCAAGCATACTGATGGTGTTGCGCCATCAAACACCGAATCACGCCGATGCCACGCAATTTTCTATTTCGGTAATGAAAAAAAAAAGAGCGGGGCTAACGCGGAGTAAGATCGGGACGATAGACTCTGCCTCGAAATACAGGACAACTAAAAGACGACTGACAGGAAGCAGGTATCTAGAGAGCTGGTGGTTGCGATAGTGATGACGTGGTGAAAATAGAAAGCACGTGCACTGTTTCTTGAACGTGATCTGAAGTCATGTGTCAACTCAGGATGAGCACCCACCCTTGTGCAGGTGTTTGGATAACCGCATGCCCATATACCTATACGACCACCCTTCGGGTGATAAGGAGGTTCGGAGGGGGGAGGAACAATCGTCTCAATCGATCGGTCTCACTATCGATCTCACTATCGGTTTCGCTCGATCGATCTCACTCGCTCGATCTGCCAATCGATATCACTCGATCTATTTCATTCGATCGATCTCACAATCGATCTGACTATCGATCTCACAATCAATCTCACGACAGATCTCTTAATCGATCTCACATTCGGTCTAACTATCGATCTCACTATCGATATCACAATCGATATCAACAATCAACGTCATCATCATCAACACCATCGTCATCAACGTCATCAACATCATCATCATCACAATCACCAGCATCATAGGGACACCAGCATCATCATCACCTTATCACCGTCATCATCAACATCATCATCATCACCATCATCATCATCATCGGGACACCATCATCGTCACCATCATCATCATCATCATCAAAATCAACATCATCGGGACACCGTCATCATCATCATCATCATCGGAACACCACAATCATCATCCCATCATGATGGTCAGGATCAAATCATCATCATCATCATCATCATCACCGGGACACCATCATCATCATCATCATCATCATCATCATCATCATCATCATCATCATCATCATTAGCAACATCATCATCAACAGCATCACCATCGGAACAGTATCATCATCGTCACCATCATGATCATCACCATCACCATCATCAACATCACCGGGACACCATCATCATCAACATCAGCATCATCATCACCATCATTGGGCCACCATCATCAAAAACATCATCATCTTCTCATCCTCATCCTCATCATCAACATCATCATCATCGGAACACCATCATCGCCATCATCATCATCATCATTATCATCATCATCGTCATCATCGGGAAACCCTCAGCATCACCATCATCATCAACAGCAGCATCATCAACCTACTCATCATCATCATCGGGACACCATGATCATCATCATCATCATCATCATCATCATGTTCATCATCATCATCGAATCATCCGATCATCATCAACATAATCATGAACATCAATAGCATCATCATCGCGGCACCATCATCATCAGCAACATCATCATCAACACCATCATCATCGGGGCACCATCATCATCACCACCATCACCATCATCATCATCAGCATCATCACCAACATCGCCAACATAATCATCATCAGCATCATCATCATCATTATCATCACCATCGGGGCATCATCATCATCATCATCATCATCATCATCGGGGCACCATCATCATCACCACCATCACCATCATCATCATCAGCATCATCACCAACATCGCCAACATAATCATCATCAGCATCATCATCATCATCATCATCACCATCGGGGCATCATCATCATCATCATCATCATCATCATCATCATCATCATCATCATCATCATCGGGACATCATCATCACCACCACCATCACCATCATCATCATCATCATCACCATCATCGTCAACACCATCAACATCATCAACATCAACATCATCATCATCATCATCATCATCATCATCATCATCATCATCGTCGGGACACCGACGGGACACTGGCGGGCGGGACACCGCGGGGCACCGGTTGCCAGAAGGGAGACTTCTAGTCTGCCCGCGCCTCAGCTACAGGAGGTTTATTTCTCGCCCGCCCACGCAGCTTCGCCTCGCCCGCACGCACGGCACGCACGAACACGAAACCGAAACCGATTTCCTGGTAGAGGGGCTCTCCGTTCCACTTCGATCTCACCCCCTCACCTCCGACCAATACATTTATTAGACTCGGAGGGAGACTGACTGCAAGTTTTACCAGTTTGGAGCCCCGATCCGCAGGAGTTGCTGGGCGCTCCTGGTCCACTGCAGGGTATGCCGCGCCGGCCTACTGGAAGACAGCATTGCTGAACAGCTCCTTCAGGCTCCCTGGGCAAGGTGCCGCCCAGAACCCCGAGGACCCCCCAGGCGACCCCCTGGAGACCCACGGAGGCCCCACACGAACGGGGGCGGCGCAGGCCGGAGGCCACTCGATAGCCGCCAGAGAGCCGCCTGCACAGCACAGCCTGTCGACTGGAGCCCGTGGTGCGGCAAGGACGCGAAGTACACTTGCGCAGCGAAGAGCAGCCAAGAACACGGTGACAGTCGTGATGAGCGCCGAGGCCCTCAGCGGGACCACGCGGGTCCGACACGAGATTGGCTCGTGCAAGCGGATGCCCTCACTCCGATTCTACGGCATGGGAAAAGAAATCTGGCCAAGACAACGGCGACGACGGTGGTGATTACGAGAACATGCGATCGGTCCACCAAAGCAGGTCAAGGCCTAGAGACGCCACACTGGATCTCGACTGAATTAGGACAACGAAATTTGAGGCCACCCATGCGGACATTGAGATCCATGCTCTGGCCAGGGTCGGGATTCGGCTTCCGAATTGTTTCAGGCGCACCTCGTTGGGGCACCTGCTACGGCGGCGACGCACGGACAACCGTCTGATTTGTGAATTCACGCTGTCATTCGCATCACAGAGGGAGGAGGACAACGCGAGGAGGATGGAGCTGGCAAAAGAGGAAGGAACGGGGGACGAACAGGATAACAGAAAGATGCATAATGCCAGTACCTCCGACGGAATTGCTTCTTCGAAGCATGACCCTCCACCACTCGACACATTCCCCGGGCCAGCTTTGCCTTCCGGGCCGCTTTAACAGTCTCGGGGCCCAGGACCAGGACACATAAGTACAGAAAACAATGTGCCCTGTATCCTGAAAGACGCAGCAGACCTGGAGAGCAGGAGGTAAAGGAAAACGAGGAGGAGAAGGAGGAGGAGGAGAAACAACTTCTCCCTTACGTCGTAATCTTGTTACCCGTCCCGCCGGCGCCGCTACGGGCGGGTGGGGTTCGAGGGCAGCAACCTACGGGAGACAAATTCACATGTCCGCAGCTCGAAACCCGAAGAAGCAGCAGCAGGAGGCAGCACCCAATCAAGCGCAGCACGTCTCGGAGTCCACATAGACGGGGGTGACGGTGACGGAGCTGTCGCCCCAGATCTCCCCGACCACGAAGCCCTGCCTGCTGTCCCTGCCGCGGCGGTGCCGCTGGAGGTCGCAAGCTCCCGGCGCCACATGCGAAACGCAAGACGGGGTCCTTCCGTCATCCTCGCCCACCAGAGGGCGATTCCCAGGGGGTCCCCGGGGCCCCCCAACACAAACTCCGGGACGAGACCCGCGGGGCCGAACGCCCTTGTGCCCGCAGGCCCGCAGAAAGACCGCAAACACGCCACGTCGGGGCGCCTCGGGGGAGGACCCGCGGTCCTCTCGCAGCTGTCGCCGCCGCCGCCGCCCACGACCCAGTTCGTGTTCGGCTCGATGGAGATGCCCGACTGGTCGGTGGCCTGTCTCGGACACAAGGGAGGGTTAGCAAAGAAAGGGCTTGCAAATTGGCTGCGCTCGGCGCGTTTTCCTGGCGCCTGCCGGCGCCAGAGGGTGACCAGCGGCAGGGCCAACACCAGCTGCCCCTGCGGGCACGTCGTCGACGAATTGAGAGGGGATCTTGCGCACGAGGGCGCCACGACCCGCCGCGGTAGCTGGCTACACACGCCTCCCCTCTGGGGTCCGGATAGGTCGGGTCGGAAGATCGCGCCGCATCGCCGATGCATCGGCGACGCGGGCGATGCATCGGCGAAGTCGGCGTGACTAGAATCAGGCTCCATGTCGAGCCGGAGCGCCGATGAACCGCCGATGCGGGACCAGACGGTACCGACGCCGCTGCTCTCCCTCACCTCTCCTGGGATGCCTTCTGACCAGCACCTCGAGGCGACTGCAGCGGTGGCGGCGAGGGCCTCCGGGGAGGCCCCCAAAAAGGGAAAACGAGGAATGTGATGGGCTTGCTTTCCACCACCATCCCCATAAGCTGGAAGGGGAGGGGGTCCACCTCCTCCTTCTGCTCCTCCTCCTCCTCCTCCTTCTCCTCCTCCTCCTCCTCCTCCTCCTCCCCCAACTCATGGTGGTGGTGGCGGAAACCAGGCCCATCAGAATGGGCACAGGTATGGGTACCTTCTCCTCCTCTGGACCTCCCCCCTCCCCTGTCGGAACCCGTGGCGCGGTGGGGCAGGGCCGCGAGCGGCCCGAAGCGGGCCGCGGCTGCAGAGGCACACCGCGCGCAGAGGGAGGGCGCTCCCTGCGCGGCGCCCCGCGCGGGGAGCCCCCGCGCGCGCCGGGCGCCCGCGCGGAGACCTCCGCGCGCGGCCTCGGCTCGCGGTCGATCGGCTCGCCTGCGCGGGCCTCTCGATGCCGGGCGGGCGTCTGCCTGGACCAGCGCCGCGGCCGCAGGCGCGGAAAGAAAAAAAAAAGAGAGGAGGAAGAGAGGGAGGAGGAGGAGGAGGAGGGAGGAGGAGGAGGAGGAGGAGGAGGAGGAGGAGGAGGAGGAGGAGGAGGAGGAGGAGGAGGAGGAGGAGGAGGAGGAGGAGGAGGAGGAGGAGGAGGGAGGAACAGCAGGAGGAGGAGGAGCAGGAGGAGGAGGAGGAGGAGGAGGAGGAGGAGAAGGAGGAGGAGGAGGAGGAGAGGGAGGAGGAGGAGGAGGAGGAGGAGGAGGAGGAGGACGGAGGAGGAGAACGAGGAGGAGGAAAGAGGAGGACGGAGAAAAAGGAGGAGGATTTGTTTTGTACGCTGCAGGGCCATTCTCTACCCCACCGCCCGAAGCCGAGGCCAGGGAGGCGGCACAGGTCAGGCGCAAGAAAAATGAGAGGGACGGCCACGTCCCCGCAGCAAGCCTCGGCCTCAGGATGGCGACTCACGCGGAGGCCGCAAGCTGTTGCACGTGCAGGCCGCGCGAAGACGCCGAAGCACGCCCACGTCAGGAACGGCGGCACGACGATCCGGACTGGCCGTACGGACAGAGCCTCGCCTTAGGCAGCACACCGCACGCCAGCTTGCGCAGCGTCTGCACTCCGTAGTGGCCCAGGTGCTCGCCGCATGGCTGGGCCAGCCCACGAAGAAACACGCGCCCAACGTGTCCGCACTGCAGGCAAGCATGGGTCTTCAGGTCGGGCCAATACCCCAGCAAATGGGACGAGTGGGTTTCCACCCCCTGCATGGTGATCTTGCCCTGGCCCACCATCTGGACTCCTTGCATGACGCCTTTGTGGCATGGCGTGGCAAGAAAAGCCTCCAACCGCGGGCCGCTCGCGCTGCAGCCGCACCCCTTGCAAGAGAAGCTCGAGCCCACACGGCCGCGCAGCTCGTGCTCCGACAGCGCCAACTTCACCTTGAAGCCGCGGTGCCCGGCCCTCGTAGGCTTGATGCGGCGCGGCTCCGCCTCCGAGGCCTTCAGGAACGCCATCGTGAGATGTGTGCGCACCGTGGACCCAATCGCTTCGGCCATCTCCAAGCTGGTGACCGTGCTGGAAGGCACCTGGACCCGCGACGCCCAGTCGCCCGCCAGCTCATCCGCGATCTGGTTAGCAGCGTACCAATTCGGTGGCACGCCGCGCGCCTCCGCCACCTCCTGGTCCAAGTGGCTCTCGATCTTCACCACGGCCGTCGAGAGCAAGTGAGGCGCACCCTGCAGCGCCTCTTTGATCTTCTGCCACAAATCAATGTTCGTCCTCGGGAGGACGCCCCGGACGACCTTCCCGAACCCCCTCACCACGTAGGAGGAGTCAGTGACGTAGTGATCCCCGCGCGCAGGCACTGCAGGTCCACCAGCGCAGCCAGGAGCGCCTGGGTCTCTCCGCGGTTGATCGTCTGCCTCGGTCCCGCCAGGCCGCCTCCATGCCCGAAGGGGGACGCAACCGAGGTGAGCTGGTGGACGCCGTCGACGTCGCCGAACTCGCAGTCAACAACCGCATAACCCCATCCAACGCGCCTCAGCTTTGCATTGGCCGAGTGCTCTCCTCCACTAGCGTCGCCTCCAACCAGCAGCCACCCCCGCCCCTGCAGCAAGGCCGCGTCGCCATACTGGTCCCCCAGCGGGTCGTCGGGCGGCTCCTCGACGTGTGTCCACGACGCGGGGAGGATACCTCTGAGCCAAAGACATGGCAGCGCGTCCACGTCGCTGATGGCCCGCTCCTTGAGGTTCCTCGAGACTTTGCTGAAATCAGAGTTACACCTGCAAGTCCACGACCTGTGAAGATCGGTCTCCTCCTCCTCCAAGCACCGGGGGCACACCGTGGACATTGGGCCCTGCGCTATCGAGGACACGCGATGTCGAGTCCACGCTGCACCGGACATGACGGCCTCCATCGCGCCAGCAAAATGATGCTGGCCCTTCTTCCGCAGAGCCTTGAGGTGCCGACGCGCACCCGAGAGGTCCGCGCCACCCTCCAAGCCCTTGCCGTGCCAGTGCTGCGCGGCCCTCTTCCACATGTAGCGCTGGATCGATGCGGAGAGCTCCGCCTTCAGGGCCCACATGTCTTGCGGGCCCTGGCCAATCATGGAGTCGGGCGCTCGCAGCTGGACCCCGTCGTCGCTGGTCCAGTCCCAGGGCCCCGTCGGGGTCCAGCCAAGGTCCAACAGGGTGGCGATCGTTGCGGTGACGATGCCCGTCACGCCCTTCCACCTCGAGGTTCGCTTTCGCCCCTCCAGCTTCTCCTTCGCCCTGGCCCACGTGATGCGGGCCAGCGCTAGGTCGAGCTTGGCCGAGAAGATCACCTGCATCCAGGACTCCACCACCTGGTGGACCATCTGCACCTGCGGGTCTTTGGCGCCCACCTTCAGCTGCAGCAACGTGGTCAAGCATCGCCCGGGCCACTTGTTTGCCACCGTCTGGGCTATAGCCCGGCGCCATCTCAGGATGACCGAAGGGGCCGTGCCGTACACTTTTTTTTTTTTTTTCCTCCGTGGGACCTCTTGTCACTGCCGTAATGCTCCACAGCTCCACAGCTCTGATGAAGTATTGAATCCGCATCCCCTCAAGGGGGCTTTGACGGCACCCATCGTCAAGGCCAAAATGACGCTGTGTGTGTGCATCCCAACGAGGTCCAACCGACCACTAAATAGACAGCACACAACGACAAGCTAAAGGAGAGTGCACAGTACAATAAAAGAAATCAAACCGTGCCGTACACCCTGTCGGAGTAGCCGCCCATGGGCAGGACCCCCATGAGCGCCACCTTGGTGGCGATCCGCCTCCGGACCGAGCCCCGGGCAGAGCGCCGCAGGCGAACCTAATCGGCGGCCTGCCCCCGCACGTCTGGCCGACTGCTTCGGGCGGCGCGCACCCACTCGGCCCCTGTCGATACCCAGAAAAAAAGGGGGGGGAAAAAAAAAGGAGGAGGATGAGAAGGGAGGAGAAGGAGTAGCAAGGAGGAGGAGGGAAAATGAGGAGGAGGAGGAGGAGGAGGAGGAGGAGAAGGAGGAGGAGGAGGAGGTGGAAAGGGAGATGAGGAGGACGACGAGCAGGAATCCGCTGATCTTTTGCCGTGAGAGCCTCTTGAGGCCTTCTTGGGGCTCACGGCCTCGGAATCCTCTGGGGGGGGTTTCTTTTTGGACGGTGTCGTCCGGCCGAGCCTGGCGGTGCGCGCCGAAGTATGTGATGCCGTGGGTGGAGTTGTCCCTGAGGGCATCGAGGAACTCGGGGGCACCCTTGAAGTGGTCGGTCGGGTAGTGCGAGAAGACCACCAGCGACTTCTGCTTGGAGCTCTTCGCGCGCTCGTAGAAGAGGCTCAGGCCCGCCTCCGTGCGGTTCTTCATGAAGTTCAGGCACTTGAAGGCGCAGTCGGTCTTGAAGCAGTCCTTGAACATGACATCATCCGCCGAGCTGGCAGCGTTCTGGAAGTTGTTCAGGTCCAGCCCCACGAGCTCGATGCCCAGCTCTGGGTACGCGTGGAAGTAGCTTGTGCCTGGCATCTGGAAGTACTCAAAATTATCCTTATCGTAGTTCGTCTGAGCGCACTCCTCGTCGTTCGCGGTGCACGCGCAAGGGTCCTAGGCGGAGGGGGGAGGGGGATCGGAGTGAGGGTAGGGAGAGAAGCGGCGATGGGATGGGAGTAGCGACAACGGTAAAAGCCGTGGTCGCGGGAGGGGGGGGGAGAGGGGGGGGCGGGGGGGGGGGAAGCGGGGGAAGGTGAAGGAAAGGGGAAAAGGAGGTGACGGGGGGCGGCGGGAAGGGAAGGCGGGCAAACAACAGGATAATGGAAGGGGTGTGAGAAGAGGGGATGGGGCAAGGGGGGGGGCAAGGGGAGGGGGCGAGAGGGGGGAGAAGGTAGAATGGGAAAACGAAGTGGGGAACGGTCCTTGCGGTAGTCGTGATCGCCGTACACGCTGTACCAGGCGATGCTGCGAAGCTGCAGGCTGTACACCCAACGCCACTTCTTGTCCCACTGGTCATCGTCCTTGCCATCTACGCCCTCGGAGTAAAATGAGTCACCCAAGCTAATCACAAATTTTACATCTCCAAGCTCAGTCATCTTCTTGTCCATCTCTTTCGCAATCAAGTGCTGGCAATCCTGTGTTATGCCAGAAGTCTTCTCGTCCCAACCTGGTAGGGTACCCCCCGCAACGGGGCCGGGGTAAGTGGGGACCCCACGTCGCACCGCATCGCCGATGTATCGGCGAGTGTGCGCTGCAAAGAATCGGTCCAAGACCAATCCACGTTGCCACTGCGTCGTCGATGCTTCGGGGACAACGGTGCAGTCTAGGTTCCCCGCTTACCCGAGCTTCGTTTCTAAGGGGCCAGCAACCCCAATCGCCGATGACGATGAAGGTGCCCCGCCGGATCAGAGGGACCTCACCACGGGGTCGCGAGATGGAGGAGGATCCAAGGAGAGGCACAATGAGTGGGCACATAATGGAGAGGAGGGCGAATAGGTCCATTCTTTCCTGGTGCACATGCACACTCAGCAAAACACGAAAATAACCAGTTGGGGTCAGGACCATTTGCGCCGCAGGGGAATCTTTTTTGAATAGCAGCAGCACGCCGACAGCTAAACATCAGAGTATGATATGCAGGGGGAGGAGGGCCAAGGGGAATTCTTGAAGGGGGAGAACCAAGCTGATCATGCCTACCAACAGCGAGAGGTCTCTGGAGGGGGAGGAGGAGGAGGAGGAGGAGGAGGAGGAGGAGGAGGAGGAGGAGGAGGAGGAGGAGGAGCCGCCGTACTTAGGCACTGAGTGTAGTGTACTCAGGACCTTCGAGCTTCCTGTTTTTGGAGTACGCTACTCTTCATGGAGCACGCTGCCCCAATCACGGGGCTGCCCGCGTGACTCCTGGGCCTTCTCGCGCGACGGTTCGAAACGCCAGAGGCCAGTGAGCGCCAAGGCGGGCGAAGATGGTCACAAGGGGTGCCACCAAGACAGACTAAAATGGTCCTGGGATGGCCTCCGTGATGGGCCTGTTTTCCACCACCACCACCATAAGTTGGAGGGGGAGGGGGTACTCCTCCTCCTCCTCCTCCTCCTTCTCCTCCTCCTTCTGGTGGTGGTGGTGGTGGTGAAAAACAGGCCCATCACTCCGAACGCTGCGAGACATCCCCCCAAGAGAGCCCCGAGAGACTGATGAGTGTCGTGAATGCTCGGCGTCCTTGCCGTGTCGGACTTCGGACACTTCAAGACCTCTAAGATCGCACTCCAAGATCGCCCCCAGACGGCCAAAAAGGCCCTCAAGAGAGCCCAATACGGCCTGAGAGGCCTCCGAAATGACCTTAAGAGGGGGCCGTGAGGGGGAAATTGAATGGGCCTTGGGAGCCCTGGTCCACACATGACCCAACATGCCCCCACGAGTCTTCCAGAAGCGCCCAAGAGGCCTACAAGAGGCACCAAGAGCCTCCTCAAGAGGACACCATGAGTTCTTTGGGGGGCATCCCGAGCGACACCAGCAGAAATCCAAGAGTCCCCTGGCACACACCCAGGCACGTGGCGGGATGAGGCAGAACCCACGATGTAAGCATTCAAAAAGGATGCGGAGAGTGTCCTTATGTAACATACGCCAGGATGACGACTTGGGAGAAATAAGATGAGGATTCGATCCGAGGAATACGCAAGGAATCGTTTCATGGAGGATGGGGATGGGGGAAGGGATGAGCTGCGGAATTAGAGGAGGACGTTCCGAAGAGAGAGTGCGTGAGGATGGTTCGAAGCAGGACAGGAAGAGGAGAAGAACTCCAAGAGATGGAGGGTCAGGAGAGTACTTAGGAGGAGGAGGAGGCGGAGGAGGAGGAGGAGGAGGAGAAGGAGGAGGAGAGAAGGAGGAGGAGGAGGAAGAGGAGGTGGAGCGTGGCTCAGGAGGAGGAAGAGGAGGAGGAGGCGGAGGAGGAGGCGGAGGCAGGAGGATGGAGGAGGAGCAGGAGGAAGACTCGAGCAGGATCTGCGGAAGAGGCTGGTCCGTGTCTCCGACGACCTCGTTGTTGTTGGTGGTGTTCCTTGCCCCGGGGCATCTCGACCCCCTCCCTGCAGGCCAGCCGCTTCCCCTGCAGAGCCCCGCTTGGCTGTCCCGTGGGCCTGTGGAAAAAAACGCAGTCTGTGGAAACAAGCACACACAGCTTGTGGAGACAAAGCGCACACACGCAGCGTTTTGGTTCCGCAGTCTGTGCGTTTTTTCCACCGTGTGTTTTTTCGAGCGCGGCTCCTTCGAGCCGCCCGAGGCATGGGCAGGACGACCGAGGAGGGCCTCAAGGCCCACGGAGAGACCGCCAGGACGACCGACCCCCCGAGCGCCTCCCACACAGCGCGAGCTTGATTCACTGGGTCTCGCGCAGGCTCCCGCCCAGAGGGCAAACAGAACTGGACCCGACCCCGAGCGCCTCCCACACCGCGCGAGCTGTATTCACCGGGTCTCGAGGAGGGTCCCGCCCAGAGGCAACAACAAGCAAATGGAGCCGCCCAACAAACCTCCACCCCAGACCCACGAAGTTCTAGTCGTGGTGCAGCGCGGGCCCACGGAAGTCTTCACACTTGCTCTGGACGGCTCTTTCGGCCTGAGCCAGTCGCTGCTGACGGCCTGCGTGCCGCCCCCCGCCGAGACCGACAGTGTTCCACAAACAAAAAAACCTTCTTGAGTCTCGGACAGCGCGGGGAGGATGATCAGGGAACCCTGAGAGAGGTCGTGGGGCGAGCCGGATCCAACCGTAGCGACAAGAGCGCCCGAGGAGGCCCCAAAAGGCCCAAACCCCTCGGTCACCCAAACTCGAACCTCCGACATCGATCGTCCAAAATCCGCTCCACGTTACGTTCCCATTCTCCCGAGGTCCCCAGAGGCCCTCAGTGGTCCCTGAAAGCCACCCCCCGCACCAATAAGAAGTCCAAAGATATCGATCCTCGAACCTCCAGTCCTCAACGACGATGAGTGGGATGAGTCGGCGGAGAGCGAGTGGGGAAGTGAGAAGGGCGAGGCCTTCTCAGAAGGCTCGGAAGTCCCCCCGCCTTCTGGGAGACTTTCGAAGCCTTCCCCGAATACACTGCAGAAAACTTCTCCGAAGGCGCGAGGGCTTCTGAGAAGTCCCGCCGCCTTCTGAGAAGGCCTTCTCCTTCTCACTTCCCCCCCCGCTCGCCGCCGAACGAAGGATTCCTGAGGGAATCGGGTCGTGGACCTCAGAGCTTTCCCCTGGGACCACTCCTTCACATGCCGTCGTTCGGACGCCCATTCCGCGCGCATCTCTCGATGTCGTGCGCCTATTGCCTCTCAAGACGAGCCTGAGCACGCTCATCGACGGCCCTCGCCGAGAACAAAAAAGCACACGCACGCCCGAGCGATGCCACGCCTCGGGCCTCAGCGCTCCCCCCTGGGGCCACTCCGCTCCCTCCTGCGCCTCCCAGGGCCCGTGGGCCTCCGCCGAGAGGCGGGCGCGAGCGAGAAGGTCACGGGGGGGGGGGCTGGCTCCACCGGGGGTGGGCAGCGTCGGCCTGCGCTCGTCGACGCACCGCAGCGCCGACACGCAGCGGCGATACAGCACCCCGAGATGGCGAGTCCGCGTGAACGGCGGTAACAAAAAAAAGGTGCGGGGGGGCGGGGCTGGCTCAACCGGGGGGGGGGCCAGCGTCGGCCTGCGCTCGTCGAGACAGCGCCGGTATACAGTCTGGCCCCCCATCGGCGATCAGTGATGGGCCTGTTTTCCACCACCACCACCATAAGTTGGAAGGGGAGGAGGAGGAGGAGGAGGAGGAGGAGGAGGAGGAGGAGGAGGAGGAGGAGGAGGACCCCTCCCCTCCAACTTCTGGCGGTGGTGGTGGAAGACAGGCCCATCAGATCAATGAGCGAGTTGGGATCGACGCATCCTCCCCGCCCCCAGCACCTCTCCCCACCCAACCTTGCCCCTGAGGCGGCCCGAAACCGGCGAGAGGCCCCGGCGAGCCTTCTCTCGGCCGCACCCAAGCCTGTACACTGTCTGCGCGGGGAGCGGCCCTCGGTGCGCGGCTGTGGGCGGGGGCGGGGGGGCGCGGGGGGACCAAGCCCCAGCGCGCGGGCCGCTGCCATCGCATCGCCTTCAGCGACCGGGGGGGGCGGGCCCGGCGGGCCCGCACAAAACAGGTCTCCCCAGCGAGGGGGCCCGCTCTCCGCGTGCAGCCGACTCCCATGGCGAGGCGGCGGCGGCGGCGGCGGCGCCCCCACCGAGGCGAGGCGGGCCTCCGAGGCGCCCGGGCTCATCGGCCCGTGCGGCCTGCAGGTCCACGGCTCGTCCGCGCGGTCGTCCGGCTGCGGCCCCTTGGTGCACGCTGGCCTGGCCCGCGCGGCCCGGGGAGACGCAAGGCTCGGGTTCGGGGGACTCGGGTTGGCCCGACGGGGCCATCCATGAAGATGACGAGGCCCAATCGGAAAAAATTGGCGCGAGCTCCCGCGGCAAGCATGCCACGAAAACCGAAGCGTCAAGATCCAGGACGCGCTCGTCAAAAAACGCCCGCAAACCCGAGCTCCGGCTTATTCGAGAATTACGTTCCCTCGAGCGGAGGGGGGGCCCGGATGGCGGGGGGCCAGAGGACCTGCAGACTCCCTCGACAAAGCTGTTCGTCATGGATTGCGACGTTAGGGTCAACGAGCACGGTGGATCAGTGG